TTCTCTTACTACTCTGGTATTAATTTGTTCATCCATCTGGACTTAGAAGAACCCAGATTTTGTGGAGAAATTTCCTGCAGCACCAGGATATCTGAAAGGAATTCTAAAAGATAAAATTAGGGGAAAACAGGAAAAGGAAAAACATACTCTCCCCCCTGCTACAGCAATTGCAGAAGAACCTGCCAAAAGGTTCTGCTCAACCAACCAGAACCTACCCCAACTGATGCAAGTAGCCAGAATGTATCTAAGTGACAGATGATAGTGACCTGAACTTTAGTGGCAAAAATGGGAAAGATAGGAAGTCATCAGAATCTGGATATTTCTATGTATGAAAAAGGATTAAGTTTTATCTGAGTGAAAATGTGAGAGAAATGACACATGGTTCTAATATACTTTGGAGATACCTTGCATAAAAAACAAGTATTTTTGTTTTCATCTGTCCCCCGCCCCACTCTGACAGGGACAAACAACTATATAAGCAACCCTTATATTGTGGTAACAGTTTGGGAGCCTACAACAGTGTAAACAACCCACTAAATATTAAAGGAAAAATAAGATACTGCTTTGCCCACTATACTTTGTATGCTGGAACATTACTGCCCTCTAGTGATGAAAGACAAAACAAACCTATAGAAGGCTAGAAAGTGGCAACCAACACAGCTGAGAAACACACATTTTGAAATTTTTTGTTTTCTTTGTAGCATGACAGACTAGAACTTTTGATGAGAAGATATGATTAATACTACTGTATCAGTAAAGCAAAATCTAACAAACTCTTCAAATCTATCCATAATTCTTAAGAATCCTGGAATCTATGAATTAAATCTGACCATTTTAAGTATAAGAATTAATAGGATTTGTTGTGAGGTCAATGACAGAATCTGCAGTCTACTAATCCTTCCTTTCCTCAGAAAAAACTATCTCTAGTCACCTGAGAGGTCGTATTCATGGGGGACTGTATTTAAAAGAAAGGAGCAAAAGTTACTGATATATTCCTCTTAAGCAAACTTTGATCTCTACATATTAAAAATACTTTAAAAATGGCCTTCAGCAAGCCATTTTTAAAAATCCTACTATAGACTTCTCCAAGTTCTATGGATACTCATGTACCCTATATTTATTTATTTATTTTTAAAGATTTATTTATTTGTGCATACAGAACTGAGGTACAGGCCAGAGGCTCAGGGGCGGCGAGAGGCTTCACCAGAGACAGAGTAGGGAGCAGAATAGGCAGATCGACGAAGTACACTGCTGAGGGGAGCAGCGGGCGGGTCAGGAGAGTTCTGCCACACCATGTGGTCACCTCCGGGGCAGGCGGGAATCGAACTCATGCGGAAGCGGCTTTAGATTGTCAGTGCTGTGCTTTAACCCGCTGCGCCACCAGGGAGGGCCGTACCCTATATTTATTAAGAGAAGATAAAAAGAGTCTTTTCAAGCAAAAATCTGCTGTGTGACTTGATAGAAAATCATGTCCAAAGGGCAGTTTCTATATTAATTTCCAAGGGTGCCATATTTAAGCACGGATCTTATCACTCCAGAAATCTGTCCTATAAATCTAAACATATATATATATATATATATATAAAGAACTAAACTGTATTTTTTTCTTTTTTTGGTGGGAATCCATCCTGTCTTTGGAGAGTGACATAAATATATGTAATGCAGAGCCCTCCCTGGTGGCTCAGTGGGTTAAAGAGCAACATTATGAAGCTGTCTGCAGCAATCTGCAGCTTTGTGCAGGACGTGTTCGATTCCTGGCCAGGGAGGTGACCCACATGGTGCAGCAGACCTCTCCTGTCTCACCCACATCTCTCTAGCAGTGCATTTAAGTCAATCTACCTAGTCTACTCTCCTTTCTGTCTCTGGTGAATCCTCTCACTCCCCTACCTCTGGCCTGAACCATAGATCTTACACACATAAATGAATCTTAGAAATAAATATATGCAATGCAGATATATATTTGGATATTGATTATTGCATGGTTGAAAGTAGGAAAACTTCTGAAGACAAGGCAAACATTTATCAATAAAGGAATAGGCAGATTACTTTATGCTACAGCCATGATGGAAGATTTTGCAGTTGCTCCAAAAAAAAAAAAAGTTGGTTTATTCTCTGTGGAAAAAAATATATATACTGAATATCATGTTTTATTTCTAGAACAATAACCAGAAAACTGTTGATAGAGATTGCTTCTAGGTAGAGAGGATACATTGAAGGAAAAGAAAAGAACTATAGGATAATGCAGATACAACCTTCTGTTTCTCTTTATATCTTTTTAAATGTTTTGACTGTGTTACAAAGAACTTGTTTTATTTGCAATTATAGGATACATATATCATTAAATTAAAATATGTGTAATTGCAGATCAGTTGAACATTATACTGCTGTTAACCTTAGCCTATAGAAGACCTCTATCGTTGAGCTTTCCAAGATGTCTATGCCCTTTTCATTAGTACATTTCTTTTTACTTGAGTGAAGGGAGAAACTCCTGAACATCTTTCACAACCAATTGTTTTAGAAATTATCTGCTAGAAAGCAGAACCTAACGCAAAGGTTAAAAGTTCTGGCATTTAAAAGAGGAAAGTGTCCTCTTTTTTGCAGGAGTGGAAAACAGAGAGATAAGATGTGATACTATGCAATGTAGTATGGCACTGTTGCTTCAAAAAGAGCGGAGGAGACACAAAGGTCACTTTGCAGAATGTTCACTGTGCATATTGCCCATCCCCAAGAGTTGTGAAGAAAACATACACAGTGTCAACACTCCTGAGAGGAGGAAGACTTTCCCATTGGTCACAGCACATTCCATAAGCTAATCTCTGAACTTCTGAGTTCCATGATCTGATACATAACAACTATTCAGGTAGAATCATTCCATGATATTTCATTCAGATCTCAAAACAGAGATTTAAATCTCTTCCTGGTATGGGAGAGACATTAGTCAGGTAGCGTAGAGAAAATCTGAGGTGCACATGGGGAGTGGGAATTGTCTGGAAAGTGATATGGAGAGAATAAGAGGCTTAGTGTTATTTGAGCTTGCATGTCAGCCTAGACCTGTGGCAGTACCTTCTTTTGTCCTACGCACCACTCAATATTAGCAGCTGTTTGGGTTCAGTAAGTAAATGAACAAGAGCAGTACACCAAAAGGAGAATTAGGACTTTGTTTTCTCCATCGAAACCCATGAAGAATTTTATCTTTTTTTTTTTTTGGTCATAGTAAACGCTAGATGCAACCACTTGCTAACCTTATAAGAGTATTCTGACAGGCTCCAGACTTCTAGAAATTTCAGTGAGGAGGGCATTCCTCCAGAAATACGACATTGCTCGCTTGGCTTTTGGTTTTTGGCTTAAATGACAGAAATTCATCTCAGGCTACAGGCTACAAGGTAAGATCAGATATCAGTAGGGCTCTGCTCCTCTGAAGCTGCTAGAACAGGATCAGCTCCAGGTGTCTGCTGGCCTCTGGTAGTTGCTAGCAATCCTTGATGTTCATTGGCTTTTGGACGCATGACTCCCATCTTCACATGTTCTCCTGGTGTGCTGCTCTGGATCCAAATTTCACCATTTTATAATAATGTGAGTCACTGAATTAGGGATTCACCCTCCTCCCATAACCTTAACCTAACTAATTCTATCTGTACATTCTGTAGGGTCACATTCTTTTTTTTTTTTAAGATTTTTATTTCTTTGTTCATACAGAACTGGAGTACAGATCAGAGGCTCAGGGGCGGTGAGAGGCGTCACCAGAGACAGAGTGGGGAACAGAACAGGCTGATTGACAAAGTAGACTGCTGAGGGGAGCAGCGGGCAGGTCAGGAGAGGTCTGCCATGCCATGTGGTCACCTCCCTGGTAGGCGGGAATCGAACTCATGCGGAAGCGGCGTTAGCTTCTCAGTGCTGTGCTTTAACCTGCTGCACCACCAGGGAGGGCCAGGGTCACATTCTTATCCCCACATTCTATGGGGGTGAGGTGAGGAGCTCAACTTATGAAATGGGGGAAGGGAGGCAAACCTCATGACAAATGCATTTTACAAGGAACTTTCTATGTCCCTCTATTTTTCTTCACTTCCTGACTTCCCCTCTATTGCTAGTCACCATCATTTCTTACCTTTTATTCTTGGACTCTAATTGAGTATCCACATATACTCAGCTCCTTGTATCTAGTGTCCATAGTGTACTCACTGTTGCTTGACCATTTTGGTACACAGGGCAATTCTAGTGGCTCCCACATAGTCTTTTATACCATCACCAACTCACCTCATGGATCAGAGAACCAATGTGGGGATTCTATTAGTTGCTGAGTATATTTATGCCAGAACTGGGGAAATAATCACAGAATACATTCAGTATTCTCACTGAGCTGGGTCTGAGCTCAAACACTAAATCACTGACTTTCATAAGCACCTTACTCTAACTGGTGAACTACAGTACATTTTGGGCCTCCTGGAATTAGTGTTAGTTCAGAGACAGTATCTAGTTATCCCCAAAATACCTCATTATTTTGTCTTCTCCAAGCCATAGTCCCTCTAGTAAACAGCCGTAATCCCTTGGGTAAGGCTGGGGGCTGGGAGAAGTGTAAATGTTTGGTAGTATAGCACAGTTAGACTTATTTTCACTTGATCTAGAACTCTTCTACTTATAAAGATCAAACAAGAAATCAGTATCATTAATACACTGCTTATTTCTTTTCTAGGTATATCATAGTCAAAACAGGTCTCTTGAATCAAAAAACTGTTGTTTTCAACTGAATGGGTCAGGCCTATCCAGAGCAAGGGTGATCTCCTTTACTTAGAAACCAACCACCTAGAGTAGTGTTTGATTGAATAACTAGGCCTAATCGTTGCCGAATAGATGCCTAACACTGACCACTGCACTTACTAACTAGAAGCTCTGGGGGTAGTATATTCAAAGCTCTCTAGTGATTCAGATGCACCCTTCAAGTTTGAAACCACTGGTTAAGAGACCAAATCAGCAGAGTAGAACAGATGTTAGAAGTCAACCACAGTGTTTTATTATTATTAGCTAGTATCTATTGCTTACAACTTAAGAATCTTAAAAGATTTACCATATGTACAAGGTTCTCAGTACAAACAACAAAAGTAACTCTTCTAAAACAAAAACAAAAAAAAAATTCTGAATGGAATAGAAAAAAAGCAACTTTTACATATAAAAGTTTTGCTGTTGCCCTTTGCTGTGGCTGAGTTTCTAGCCTTCTCATTAATTTTGTGAAGTCATTTGCAAGGACAGGAAGAAGAACTCCCTAAGGAACTCAGAGTAGCAAGAAAGACGCTTAAAATGATCACACTGCAATATATTAAGTACAAGAGAAAAAATATGTGTGCAGTGTGTTACTGGACGAACAGGGAAACTAAAGTCAGTCTTGGGTACTGAATCAGGATGGAAAAATAAAGGAACTTCAGAGAGAAGCATGCACAAAACTCTAGAAACACTCCTAAGTTTTTTAAAAATATCAGTAGTCACATCTCAGCATCCAAAAAGTTCTAAAGCCTCGTGTAAGTAAAACTGTAAATTTTTATTTCAGCACCCTTTTACCCCTTTTTTATGCCCTCCCAAATGAAGTACCCCCATTTTCTGTATTTATGAGCCATCAACTCCCTAATGTGATCCAATTGCACTGTCATTGATTCTCCTGAAATTATTATCACAGAATGTTTTCCATAAATAAAAAGTAAAAGAACACAACAGATAGAAGAATAACACTAAGAGTAACACTAAGAATAACCGTGTGGGAGGACCCTGAACCCTAAAGACCAAGCTTCTTTTCCAGCCCTTCCTTCCCTCCAGGCAGACGCTAAAAGATCCTCAAAGAACAACCCAGGCTTCTGAGAATAATCTGGGAGCCACCTAGTCAACTCCCTATTCACTCATTTTCTTGAGATTCCAATGACCTACAATAATACATTTAAGAACAAAAATCTGAGGCTAGCATTTTAAGAGTAACAAATTTTATATGCAGATCACTATCACTGGCCCAATCTGTAGCAATTTTTAATACTAACAGTATGGATACTTGGAAATTTATTTTTTTAAACACATTTTTAAAAGAGACTTCTTTCCATACCATTCCTAAATTATTTTTCTGAAAACATTTACCAAATGACTGGTATGTAAGGCAAGACTACCATGGGAAATTATTGTTTAGTGAGTCAGAACAGCTGTGTTAACACCTTTTCCTTTGGGAAGTAGAAGGAAAAAATAACACGAATTTATGTTAAGGCTGGTAGAAAGAATAAGAATAAAAGCCCTTGTTTGTATTTTTTTTCTGTCATTTTAATAAAAGGTTAAAACATATTGCCATATCATTAATTGAGCATCCAGGGAACAGTATTTCGATTGCTATTAAAAGGACTTTATTGCAGCATTTAAACTTCACCTCACAAATGAATATGCATGTTTCAAGCATTTTTTTCAGCATATGTCATTCACAACCTTCTATGTATTTACTTTCTATCTTCACTAAAAAAGGTAGTTCTCACTGAAGCCCCACTACTGCTAAAGCAGTCGAAGTGCCTGAGCTCCAAAGTGACCACGATCCCCAGATTAATCTAATCAGTAGACCAAAGCTTGGTTTAAATGTTTGAAGAGCAAGAGACAGCAAATAAATTATTATTTCTATGAGAGAATGATTCATTAAAGCCACGTAGACTAAAATTTCCATACTTAAAACTCTATTAAGATAAAGCCTTCATTCTTAAGGTTTCTTATGTCATCACAGGTTTTAGAAATTAAACATCACATTTTCTGCATTCCACAGTAATCGGCACTTTCAGAAACTGGAATATGTGCCTGCATGTTACACTAACATACAATTCTCTACTTAAGCATTTTTTCCTAGAACAATCTTTAGCCTCAAATATTAGAATACAAAAAACTATCTAGGAAAAAGCATCAGAACTTTTAAATATTCCCCTTTCCCCAGTTGTTAGCTGGTAGTACTTTTTTTAAAGAGCAGGTGATGAAAAAATCAGAAATTTTGCATCTGATGTTTGACTTCAACTTTTTACTTCCTTATCGTCTTCTGGTACCACCATATCCTAGAATGAGAAAAGTAACATTTATATTTGTCTTTACAATACATTACAATTTCTTATAAACTACCATAGTAACTTGTGTTACTATGTGAGCCAAAAGGAAAGAGGGAAGGAGAAAATGAACCACTAGATGGACCAGGACTATGCAGGATGCAAGGGATTGTCTGCCCACAACAGCCCTCCCAATCATCCAGTCATCAAGTCTACTAAACTGACACATGTTTAGTTTAAGATAAAAAAAAAAAAGAGCAGTGGGGCCTATGCTGCCTCTCACAATTCCAGGGGTAAACAGAAATAATGTTGGGTGGCGCGGTGGAGGTAGATTACAGACTTTCAAAGATTAATGTTATCGAAACATGCACAACATTTGCTGAGACAGAACTACAGGATGACAAGTGTTCCCATCTGGAAAGTCTTTATATATATATAAAAGCTTTCCTTCAGGTTACTTAATAAAGTTTTACAATTTTCTCCTTATAAATCCCATACAGGAATTCTGGTGGCACAAGGGTTAAAGTCTCAGCATGATGAAGCTATCAGCAGCCACTGCAGCACTTCTTCAATCCCCCAGCCAGGGAGGTGACCAACTTAGTGCAGCAGACCTCGCCTATCTCACCCACTGCTCCCCTCAGTTGTGTATTTCAGTAGATCTACCTGTTCTGCTCCCCACTGTGTCTCTGGTGAATCCTCTCACCCTCACACCTCTGGCCCTATGTCCCAGTTCTTGTATGCATAAAGAAAAAAAATCTTTTAAAAAAAAAATGAAAATAAAGAGGTGCTCTTTAAAAAAATTCCCAGGGCCCTCCCTGGTGGCGCAGTGGGTTAAAGCATAGCAGTAAGAAGCTAAAGCCACTTCAGCATGAGTTCGACCCCCGCCTGCCCTGGAGGTGACCCACATGGTGTGGCAGACCTCTCCTGACCCACCCACTGCTCTCTGCAGCAGTGTACCTTGTCAGTCGGCCTGTTCTGTTCCCCACTCTCTGGTGAATCCTCTCACTGCCCCTGCACCTCCAGGCAGTACCCCAGTTCTGTATGCATAACTAAATAAATCTTTTTTTTTAATCCCATATATATATGTTATTTATGGTTTTTTTTACAATTTGTTTCCACTGAGAATGAGTCTTCTTTTTTCAGTTTACATTCTGCATATTTATGTTCTTCTATGACCTCCCAATTCACACTTCCCTTTTTTTCTCAGAAAGTAATCACTATCTTAATATCAAGCAGCATAGGTTTATGTACATTTTTAAATGTGACTATAAACCCATTGTATATATCCTCTGTGTTTTTCTCTGTACTTGATAGCATTATCCACATTATTGCTTAAGATATGTGGCCACATTCATTCTCAGTGTCACAGCGTTCCATGGTATATAACTACACTTGATTTACTCATTTTCCTGCTGATATGTGGGTTTCTTCTAGTTGAAAGATATTATAAGCAGGGATTCTTACCATTCCAGGTACAAGTGTATGCAGCCATGTATCTGAAAATCAAAGTCTAGGGTATGATTATGTTCAATTTTAAACAGTTTTATTCAAAGCAGTGGTATCAATTTATTAGTACTATGAGAATTCCACTTTTACAGTTCAAGATCTATTTAAATGTTTCTTCTATCAATTTCAAGATTTAATTATTATGCTGTAACTTCCCCCCACTAAAGAAGAAAAATCCACAGCAATCTATTCTGCCTCATTAAACACCTACTCCCATTCTCTGCTAATTTGATGTATGTTTAATTTCAAATAGTTATTTGTATCCCTGCCTTGTACAAATATCCTTTTAGCAACTGCAATACTAAAAAATTTTAACAATGTATCATAATACATTTTTACTATGTTTACTGAATCTTAAAAGTTTACTTCTACCTAGACAATTGTATTTTAGAACTTAAAGGGTCCATAGAGCTTACTAAATTGAACATATGTAGAAACCAACATCCAGGAAGATTTAAGTTAAAACCTTGGATACTGGTAGAAGTGAACCTAAGCCAAATCCTGTTGGATTTTTTTTTTTTTTAAGATTTATTTATTTATACATACAGAACTGAGGTTCAGGCCAGAGGTGCAGGGGCAATAAGAGGATTCACCAGAGACAGAGTGGGGAGCAGAACAGGTCGACTGACGAAGTACATTGCTGAGGGGAGCAGTGGGCCAGTCAGGAGAGGTCTGCAGCGCCATGTGATCACCTCCAGGGCAGGCAGGGATCAAACTCATGCTGAAGTGGCTTTAGCTTCTTAGTGCTTAACCCATGGCACCATCAGGGAGGGCCCCCAAATCCTGTTGGATTTTTAAAGAATGACTACAAGTGACAGCAAAGAATGAAATGGAATTGTATTTTAATCTCAGTTACCTGTGTTACTAATATTTCTGGGGAATATACCAAAGCCATGACTACTAAACATATAGCCACTCATCTCTGTAAGTTCCCAAACTATTTCGATCCATAATAGGAACATCTGTATTTCTGCACTTACCTGATGCTGTTCTGGTTCTTGTCTCTGAATTTGAATGTCCTGAATAGCCACCTGCGCCTCCATGCAGTGGTGAGTAAGCACGACTATTCCATGTGCTGGAGTATGAGGAAGTAGGAGATGGATAGTACCATGAGTCTGAAAAAGGTGTTGCTGCTCTATAAAGACATAAAAACATGTCAGGGTTTTTTTTATATATAATTTTAAATACCTTCTTAGTCCTAAACTATTAGGAAAATATCTTTATCAAATGACTTTTTCCTCAAAGTTTAGCCTACCAGGGTTAACATGAAATAAATACTGTTTTATATTCTGATACTGTTAGTTATTGCCAAGCGGAACAGAAGTAACATAGAATAAAGGCTCTTTCTTTCTGAATTTCCACTTAAAATCTAATCTTAAACCAGCAATAACACCGATACTCCCAAATCTGGCCTCCAGGTCTTTTCAGTCCTGCCTCTACCATTTTCCTACCAAAGCAGACTAACTATTCCCCAAATGTTGTGTTCTTTCCTGCCTTATTTTCTCAAAAGTCAAAGTTTTCCCTCTCTTGTCATATATATAATAAGATACATAGGAAAAAAAAAAAGGAAATATATACAAATATTTATCAAAGCGCACAGTATACTTCCCCAATCCCTAAAAATATGTGATCTAATAGGAAAGCATCACAATTTATTTTTCTTAATAATACCAACCCCACTGAGTTAAAAAATAAGATGAAAGCAAAGCCCACCTATTGCTTCCAAACAAGTATCCCAATATTCCTCCAGTTCCCAAGCCAGTCCAGAACCCTGGTCCTGAATTTTCATATCCTTGTTGTCCTGTGAAAGCACTTCCAAAACCTGAAGTTGCACCATGTGGCCCTAGAAATAAAAGTGATATATCATTTAAACAAAACATAGGCTATAAAACCAAAAGTAACATGACATTTCAACTATTTCATCTATACTATTTATTTAAAAAGCTGAGTTCAATGTACAAATACATTGTATTTTAAGAGGTGTAACTAAAACACTGGTTTATAACTAAAAAGTGTATTTTCACCAAAAATGGAAAAGGAAAGATTTATTCTAAAATAGGAGGGAGGATCACAAATTAGAAAGTGACCCACCCCACCTGTCAGAGCTCCTCCTTTCTGCAAACGTTAACATCTCTAGGGCTTCCCTAGTGGACCTAGAAAACTATCAAGCTTCTGCTAGCCACTACAGCATGAGTTCAATCCCTGGCTGGCCAGCAGGATGACCCACATGGCACAGAAGACCTCTCCTGTATCACCTGCTGCTCCCCTGAACAGTGTATTTTAGTTAATCTGCCTGTTCTGCTCTTTCTCTGATGAATCCTCCAGTTATCATACGCATACATAAATGAATCTTTAAAAAAAAAAAAGAGTAAACATCTCTAAAGGTTCCAAGTGACAGCTATACTTCAGTGTCTTAAGAGAGGAATTCAAATGGAGGCAGCCAGGTATTTCTTTATATAACTTTAGGAAGCCAGGTCTTAAAGGGAACAAAATGTATCTTCTGCTCAGAGGATATCTTTTTTAAATTGATGCATAATATACATAAAGGTAAGTGTGCTAACCTCTTTGTACAGCATAATAAATGCATACATATGTACCCATCCAGGTATCCATCACCCACATCAATGGAAAATTTCTAGCACCCAGAGGCTTCCCCATGACAATTCCCAGTAAATAACCATCCACATCAGGGATAAATTTCATTATGACTTCTCAACACTTTAGTTTTACACACTTTGAGCTTTTTATAAAATAGAACCATACAGTAGGTACTATTTTGTCTCTTCCGTGTGTCACACCATTATGTCTATGAGGGGTTTTGTCTTTTTTAACTGACGTATAGTTTAAGGGGAGGAACCCACAATTTGTCTCATTCTAGTTATTATGGCCATTCTGTTTTCATTTTTTTTTTACTGTTGTGAATAAAAACTGCTATAAATATTCCTGTGTATGTCTCTCTGTGCACCTATGCACACATTTCTCTTAGGCATGTATCCAGGAATGGAAGTGCTCAGTCATAGAGCAAGCTTATGTTTAATTTAGTAGATACTGGTACTTTGCAAAGTGTTTTACCATTTGTGTGTGTTTTACCATTTTAACTTCTTCCAGCAAATACCAGTTGATTACATCCTCATCCATACTTGTACTCTGTCTTTTTAATGTTAAGCCACAGTGGGAATTATATGGTGGGTAATAATGGACTCTGTAGTTTCAACATGCATTTCCCTGAAAATTGAGATGCTAGGCACTTTCTCATATTTTCATTCTCCATATGGATATGTTCTTTTATTATAAAATGGCTATTCAAATGTTCCACCCAATGTTCAATTGTCTTTTCTTGGATTTGTAGGAATTCTTTATATATGTCTTTTGTTGGAAATATGTTTTACAAATATTTTCTCCCAATCTGCAGCTTGCCTTTTCATTTTCTTATCTTTTGCTGACTAGACATTCTTAATTTAAATAAAGCCTAATTTATCTACTTCTCCTCTATTACAGCTAGTGCTTCTTTGTGTTCTAAGAAAGTTTTTCCTATCCCAAGGTAATGACAAGTATCTTCCTACATTTTCTTCTGGAAACCTAACTGCTTTAATTTTTATGTTAAATCTATAGTACATAGTGAATAAATTTTGTGTGTAGTTGAGATAGAATTCAAAATAATGTTTCTCATCAAGCCTAATCAAGTTTTCTGATTAAAATAATTTATAATTTAATCATATATCCTTAAAATAGTAATCACAATTATGCTTATAGAGAAACAGAAGAGGGAAACAAAAATGAAAGTAAAAAATAAGACAAGCCTGGTTTGGTTTCCCCAATGTAACCATTTTCCTTTTCCGAAACCAGCACCTCACATCTACCCTACTTCTTGCTATTGCTGTGGGAAACATACCTGTGAACTCAGACTTAAAGCCTGGGGGAGCAGGTCCTGCTGAGTTGGTGAATCTCTGATAACGGTGGGAATACGAAGGATACTCAGAGTATGGTGGAGGAGGCTCTTGACCATCACTAAGGAACAACTTATAAACTCCAAAGGCAATAGCAAGTAGCACCACAATAGTAATCAATCCACTGATGCCACCGGAATCTGAAGAGTACAACTTATTGTAATAACCAGAGAAAGAGTTAAAGGCGTTATTTTTTCCAGACTCTCTCAACTTCTTCAGACCAATTTCTGTATAATCTAAGTTATACTCCAAGCCACAGGAACCTCTAAGTACATACTGGTCTTCAGAGGATTCATAGCCTTCACAGCTCACCACAGTTTTTCCAAATTTGTATGCAATATCTAAATCGGTCTTACATTCCCACTGTGAAGAAAAGTAAAAGCAGATTATTAGAACCAAAGGATTTTTTTTTACTTAATATATATTATATGGGCTACATATCTATCATAAAAACTACAAAATGAAGTAAAAGAATGACAAAATTCAGGAAAATGAGTACTTCTATGTTACATGGCAAATTAGAGGATTCTAAGGTATTGGTAATGCTAATTAAGCTAGGTGGTGAAGTCTTAAGTACTCATTTTATTCTATTTCTACTCCTTACCTGTCTTATAAGAAATTCTTTTGTAGTTAAGAATCCATCATTTATAAATTTTAAGCAAATTCTTAAATGTCGATTTTTGTCATCATTCCGCATGTGTTCTTAAAAGAGTTTTTTTATTTTATATTAAGGCTTAAAAGTCAGCATCATATCTGAAGATCTCACTACATATAACATCAGAAATACTAGATAACCTTCTGAGAAAAATTTTCTACACAGATTTTACAAAATCATAAGACTAAGTTTCCAAGAGTTCAATTTTGAAAGTAATTCTTAAAATTCAAGGTTAGATCAAATTCTCAGTATTTTGAACCAAATAAGTAATGTATTTCTGTAACAAAGAGACAACTAAGTAGATTGGTTTTACAACCTTTCTATAATTTTAGACAAATTATCTTCATCTATCAAAGTCCAGATACATTATTTTATTTTTTCTAAGTTTCACTAAAATAGAATTTACACACCACATAGTCACCCATTTTCAATGGCAGGTAGTATATTCACAAACTTGTTAGATCAACAACATATCCAACTTTAGAATAATTCCATCACCTTGAAAAGAATCTCATATCCATTAGTAATCCCTACCCCCATTACTCCCTAAATCACTCCGCTGTAGGTAGTCACGGATGTCTCAATGACTTCCCTATTCTCACATTTCATATATAAGGAATCATACAACATGCATGGTCTTTTGTAACTGGATTTTTTCCTTAGCATGTTTTCAAGGTTCACCCAAGCACTTCAGTGCTTTTCAAAGCTGGTAAATAATTTATCATATGGTTGTGCCGTATTTTCTTTATTCCTTCATCAATGATGGAATTTGGATTGTTTCTACTTATCTGCTATTATGAATAATATTTCTATGAACATTTACATACAAGTTTTGTATGGACATGTTTTCCATTTTCTTGGGTGTGACTGACTAGGTTTTCTAGGAGTGGACAGACTGGGTAACTATGTTTAATCCTTTGGAGACCTGCCAGGCAGTTTTCCAAAGTGGCTATGCCTTTTTACATTCATAACAGCACTGCGTGAGAGTTTCTACACATCCTCACCCACACTTGTTAATATGTCTTTTTTATTATAGCTATCCTATTAGGTACGATGTATCTTAGTGTGATTTTACTTCCTTGATGGCTAATGTTGCTGAACATTTTTCATGTTTATTGATCATTTGCAAATCTATGGAGAAAGGTATACTCATAAGTGGATAAGCTCCACTTTAATTTGGTTATTTGTCTTTTTATTGACTATAACAGTTATTTATAAATTCTAGATACAAATCCCCTACCAGATAAATGATATGCAAAAGCTTTCTCCCAATGTGTGGGTTGTCTTTTCACTTTTTTTTTCTTTGTTTGGTGCATAACATTATTTACCTATTTAATTCAAATTAGACAAGTGACTCTAACAGTGACTGAGCGAAGTTTTACATTCCTTTACCCGAACAGTACTGGATTTGATCTAATTTAGGTTGACATTTAGGACGAGAGCTAATATGCTTTTCCACCCTTCTAACTATACTTATGAGGTAAAGTTGTTTTACATTGTTTGTTTTAGGGGTTATGGGACCAAACCTCCAGCAAAGGTGTGTTTTCACACCATGCCCACTACCAAAGTCCCAATATCCTCCATTGTATTCCATAAAAACATCTCTTTCTCCTACTCCCACCCTCGCCCATTCTAGTTCCTCAGCTCCCAAATCAAATGCCAAGGGTTTGTTACTAGTTTGGTTTTGTCTAACCCTTTATTTTGATTCTCTATAGTCTATATTAGTGAAACCATCCCCTATTTGCCTTTCTCCTTCTGACTTATGTCCCTTTGCATTATCTTCTCCAGCTCCATCTAAATTGTTACAAATGGCAAGAGTTCTCACTCAAGATAGTTTTATTTGGGAGATGTATAAGTTTGCTAATTTAGATAAAACAAATCTCTTGGCATTTTATCTTAACTAACATTTTCTCAATCATGTATAATAAAAGTGATTTCCGTCATTATAGTTAAACTCTTGGAATTGGAAGAGGCTCTCTCTTGCTACAAAATGTAAGCCAAATGTATGAAATCCTATATACTTCTTTCCACATGCTATTCTCTTCTTTATTGCTTCAGCTCTAAAAATCGTACCCTTCCTTCTTAACATAGTTCAGAACTTCTCCTTTAAGTCTTCTCCAAACCCCCCAACTAGATATCACTTTGTTAGCTCCTACACGTAATTAAGTAATTGTCTTATCTTTTCTACTAGAAAGACAGTTTCCTAGTAGAAACTATGACTCCATATAGCCATTTTTACATACTGTTTAATATATACTTAATGAATGTCGTCAATTAGTGTCTTTATTATCCATCAAGGCCATAAAAGTAATTTAAAATGGGAGTGAGACTTTTGTGTTAATCAGAAGACTCCATGATTCAGTTCGAATCTTTGGGGAAAATAATGGAAGTCTGAACTCCATCTCTGAACAGCACAGGCCATGCATAAAGGAAATAACAAAGAAAAATATCCTAAGAGAAGAAATTATCAGCACAAGTGTCTTACCTAATGCCCAGCTATCTTAATACTTCTTGAAAGCAAGAATACATAATGTAAACATAGTAGTGATTTAACCTGAATTCATTTAATAAAATCTATTCCATTTCTAAAGCATTGTAACTTTTGGAACTTCAAGGAGATATTCTACCCTATCTACAAAATGCCAGTCTCAAATAAATTTCATTGCAGTGCTTCATTCAGAAGTAACTACCTTCAGGTATAAAACTGTTTTAAACTTCAGTGTTGGAAGCACAATACCTCCATTATTTACAATCCACAAACTCCTTATCATATGAACTTTATTTCTTAAGGGTAGGTTGGTATTCTTTGCAGAATGTAGAAAAATGACAGACAAAGGGGATCCTCTGCCTCTGACCCTAAGAACATAAAAAGTTTTTATTTAATTACTAATATCTTAGAAGAAATTTAAGGTACAAAATTTAAATTGACTATTTCCATTTACTATTTAAAATCAGTTCATTTCTTTTGGAGGATGTTTTTTCCAAAAAATGAATGGCCAATTTATATTTATATATTTTAGGTTAATCAGAGATTTTCTATATGTGTTTCCCAAAAACAGTTAATAATGTCCCAATTAAGACTTTTTTAAGGAAAAATTCCATTTAGAAAATCCACCAATACAATGAATATTACCTGTACATCATAACCATCCCAACCTTTGTTCTGACATTGTATGACTTTTGGAGTATAAGAATCACACCCAGCTGTGCCTCCTACACATTTCAACTGTGGGATGGGATCCAGCCTACGGGAGGTGGTATAGCGGTCATAGTGAAGAGTAAGAGCTTTAACATCCCGCAACAGTATTCTATCTGAAAAAGAACACAAATAAACAGCTAATAAATATAATTTCATATTCTACATAGAAAAAAGGTGATGAAACAATTTCCCAAAGTCACCCCAACAACGTCCAGTTTTTTTACACAAAAATCATAGTCATACATTTAAGCCCTCCCTTTATTTCAGGGTGGACGCCTCCCTAGCTGCTTCTGTATCACCTGTCTGCCTACTTTTTGTAAAGCCAGAACAAAGTGTTCATTAACCTAAAATACTGTACTGTTGTATGACATTAATGATCAAGTGGCAAAAATACACATGAATATTCCTGAAACTCACTTAATAACTTAAATGTCTGTCAAGTGGTGAATGGTTTAATAAAACAGTTAATAAAACTGTTGAGTTAACTACAGCTCATGAATGAGACTGAAAGTAGCAAAAACATTTTCAGTAAAATATAAGTTACAAAATATTTAGTGTAATAGTCTTAACATAAAGCTTAAAAAGCCAGCAAAGCAGAACAACATACTGTTATAAAGTAAATGTCTGGAAAACAATCCTAAAAGCAAAGGGGAACCAAAAAAAGGGTCAGGTAATAAGCATACTTATATTAGATAAAATAAACATCCAGTTTAAAAAAGGTAACAAGGGACAGGGATAGACATTATATAATGATTAAGGGGTAAATACAGCAGGAAGATATAACACTTATCAATACATATGCACTGATAAGACATTATATAATGATTAAGGGATAAATACAGCAGGAAGATATAACACTCATTAATATATATGCACTAAACGAAGAAGCACCAAAATATATGACAACTATTAATAAACATTGACTGCAACACAATAGTTCACCACCCCATTTATATCAACGGCCAGATCAATCAGAGAGAAATCAAGGAGGAAATGACAGCCTTAAATGAGGAATTAGAACAGAGGTGCCTAGTAGACATTTATTGGACACTGTATCCCAAAAAGCTGGGTATACATTCTTCTCGTGTGCGCATGGGCTACTTCCAGAATGGATCACATGTTGAGCCATAAAACAAGTGTCAATAAATTCATTAAAACTGAAATCATGAGGCCTCCCTAGTGGCACAAAGGGTTGAGTCACAGCACTAAAAAGCTGTCTACAGCCACTGCAGCATGAGTTCAATCCCCAGCCAAGGAGCTAGTTCACATGGTGCAGCAGACCTCTCTCCTATCTCACCCACTGGTCCCTTCAGTGTATTTCAGTCAATCTACACATTCTGTTCCCTACTCTGTCTTCACCCCACCCCCTGCACCTCTAGCCTATACCCCAGTTCTTAAACACAGAAAGAAATCTTTTTTTAAAAATAACATTAAGTATCTATCTCACACTAGACACAAAAATTAGCTCAAAATTAAAGGCCTTGATTTAAGACTAGCAACCATAAAATACACAAAAGAAAACATAGGTAAAAACACTCCACAACACTGACTTCAGGAAACTCTTTAGAGACTTGACTCCACTAGCAAGCAAAAAAAATGCAACATCAACCTAAAAAGTTTCTGTACAGTGAAAGAAATTATCACTAAAACAAAGACACCCTACTGAATGGGAGAAAATACCTGTATATCATATATCTGACAAAGGACTAATATCCAAGATTAACAAAGAACTCATACAACTCAACAAAAAGAAAGCAACCCAATCAAAAAATGGACAGAAGATATAGACACTTCTCCAAAGACGACATACAGAGGCAAACAGGCATAGGAGAAAAAAAATTCAACATCACTTGTCATAAGACAAAATGCAAACCAAACCCACGATGAGATACCACCTCACTCCAGTGAGAATGAACCATATCCAAAAAAAAAAAAAAAAATAGAAACAAATGTTGACAAAGATGTAAAGAAAAAAGAACCCTCATTCCCTGCTGATAAGAATGCAGACTAGCCCATCCCCTATGGAAAACAGTGTAGGGTGCCTCAAAATATTAAAAATAGATCTACCATATGATTCAGCAATTCCACTCCCAGGTCTCTAACCCAAATATAAAGTCACTAATCCAAAGGGATATATGTCCTCCTACATTCACCGCAGCACTATTTACAGAAGTCAAGTTATGGAAACAATCTTGATGCCATTTGACAGAACAGTGGATATATGCTAGTGTTATAAAATATATACTATGTTACTACATATACTACTCAGCTATATATTAAAAAAAAATGCCACTTGCACCAACATGGATGCAACTGGAGAGAATTATATACTAAATGAAATTGAAAGAAAGACACTAATCAATGGATTTTACTCATGTGAACCACAGAGAAAAAAGAAGGAACCAACAAAAGTAAACCAAAACAAACCCTAAAAGGAGTGCTGCTAGAGAGGGAGGGAGGACAGGGTGGCGACAAAGGGGACTCAGCAGACAGGATAAAAGATTGTGGGTGCTTTGGTTGTGGGAATGCTGTAATAGTGTACATATGAGGAGGTGTGAACATATTCTTCTAAAGCATATCTAGAATTGTAAATCAGTGTTACTTCAATAAAGAAAAATATTAATGAAAGGATTATTTATTAAGGATCTGCTAAATATATATATATATATAAGAAAAAATAACTTTCCGTCAAAATAAAAAATATCTTTCCCAGAATTCCTCCAGTCAACTGACCAGAATGGTTTAGTATCAAGAACTCTAGTAAAATGAGTAGTTAGCTTTTCCAAATGAGTATTTACATGGAGACTGACAGACAAAGAGAAGCAGCTACAGAATGGCATTTGAGTAATCATCCAGTAGAGTCTGTCATGCCTGGAACAAACAGTAGAAGAAAGAAAAAGAGTTTAGAATTTCTGAAACTACAAAGTCCAAGAGAACTTTCTAAAAGGTGATCCTGTTATAGTAAGTAAGAGAATGTGATAAAATATTTGAATATACTATCAGTTACCAAGTCAGCAGCTTTTTCTACGCCTATTCTATTCAATTCAAAATGAAGTCGAGGGTCCTCCTGGTGTCACCTCCAGGTGACTGTGAAGCGCAGCACTATAAAGCTATCAGCAGCCACTGCAGCATGAGCTGGATTCCCAGCCAGCGGGGTGACCTGTATGGCATGGAAGACCTCTCCTGTCTCACCCGCTGCACCCCTCAGCAGTGTATTTCATTCGATCTACCCATTCTGCTTCCCACTCTTCTCTCTGGTGAATGCTCTCATTTCCCACATCTCCTGGCCTGCGCCGCAGCTCTTGTATGCATAAACTTTTTTTTAAATGAGATGCACAGCATGTCAATTTAATGACAAAATGCATGCATGAATAAAACATCTAAAAATGAACTTAAGATCAATAGATATGTCTTTCTTACATAGATCACATATAAGACCTAAATAAAGTTAATGGACTTTGTGCCAGAAATCCAATCGAGTATTTCTGGAACTGGAATTTCTATGGGGGTCCTATGGAAAATTGATGTCTATAAATAGCCAATTTTTTAAAGTGAATACAATATTTTACCAACTAGTAAAGCTTATGAGAAATCAAAATGCTATGGAATTGGAACATAAACAAGGGAAATAGCTCACACACATAAATAAAATCGAGAAGTAAATCTACACCTATATGGAAGTGTGATAGAAGTAAAGGAGCATCTTACTTCAATGAAAAAAGGATGACATTTTTTATAAGTGACACTTGCATAACTGACAAAATTACAGCTAGAAAAAAAAATAGACCTAAAACTATATAAAAACTTAATTTCACACAGGCTAAATAATATCTAAAATTTCTAAAGCTAGATATTAAAATGCTAGATTAAACTCAAACTACCACTTCATACATAAAAAATATAACAATGAAAATGTTAAATGGTTCTAAAAGTCATAACATTAAACTAAATAACAAGAATAAAGATAACATGATTTTATTGTAGCAGGACTGAGAGCATATAAAGAACAGTGAATTCTCATCACCAACTTTAGCCAAGTCAGTTCATTTATCTGTGTAAACAGCTTCCTTACCTATAAAATTACAATGGTATCAACCATAAAATTATTGTTTATCCAGCAGAGTACTTGACACATAAGAGGTAATTAAGTACAGTAAACATCACTAAGAATGTTTTAAGAACTATATACATATAGGGTACCATTAGCATAACTGTACAACTCTTTTCCTCCTTAGAAGTCCAAATGGTTACTTCTCTTTTGTGACTCCCAAGTACCTATGTTGAAACCCTACTCCCCCAATGCGATGGTATTTGAGACTGGAGCCTTCAGGAGATGGTTAGTTTTATAACAGATGAGGTTATGATAAAGAACCACCATGACAGAATTAGAACTTTATGAGAAACAATTCAGAGAGCCTCACCCCTCCCCTCTCTGCCATGTGAGGACATCAAGAGAAGACAGTTAACTGTGAACTAGGAAGAGTGCTTACCAGAAACCAAATATGGTGGCACCTGGTTCTTGGTCTTCTTCCCCAAAAGTATGAGCGATAAATGCTCCAAAAGTGTGAGCAATAAATGCATGTTGTTTAGGCTACCCAGTAGCTTAAAATATGGTACCTTGTTGTAGCATCCTTAACTAGGAAAGTTCTATGAACAAACCATACCAGTTATATACCCCACTGGTTATATAAATCAAAGAAAACACCTCCAGACTCAAAAATCAAAATCCTCATGTAAGTCTCAGTTAAGACCTACAATTTAACTCCGCCAAATCTGATTTTCTCTCAGTCTCCCCCATGTCAAGAAATGGTAACTCGGGCCCAAGCTCTGGAATCATATTTGTCTTTACTCCTCTCACCCCCTGTATCTAATCCTTCAGAATTTCATGTCAGCTCCACCTTTAAAATAGGTGAGAAGAGAGTCCAACTTCACTGTTTCCCCGCTAGCCCAAACCATCAACATTCATAAAATTCACTGCACAGCAGCCTCTTCTCTCTCCCAGTTTTCTCCCTAACAGACTGTTTTCCACAGAGGACACAGAGCCTTGAAAATATAAGTCATAGTAGATCATTTATTATTACTCTCCCCTCAGATTTTTGAGCAAATGTCACCTTAACAGTAACTTCTTTTGTAAACAACAGGCATTTTGAAAGTCCCCTCTTCTGCCTGCACATCCTGCTCTCTTCACCCTGTTTTAACATTGTCCATACTACTTTTACAGTAAGACATGCCACTTAATGTATTCACTGTTTTTTTGTTTGCTGCTATATTCCTAATACCCTGAAGAATCATTTAAATATAAAACTAATTCAAATAATTTCTAAAATTCTTACATATTATCTTTAGAACTGGTACTATTTCTTCCCAATTATTGACCTATGTAATCTAAAGTACATCAAAAGTCAAACGAGACATATCAGAGTGGTCAATGCTTTAGTAAGGAACTGGAAAAAAATTAAGCCAAACACCTTCAAAAACAGCTCAAATTAAATTTAATTTGTAAATTTATAAAAATCAATTGTGTTTACTCTGCAAAGTGTTTTGGTGCTCTTAACTACAGAGCAATAGTTTTATAGAATAAGTGAATTAAGAGCTACCAGGTAGTGGTGCACCATTAACTTAAATTTGTTTCCATTTTAAAATAATTCCCCTGATGGAAAGCTGCATGGAAGATCCTGAAACTACTAAAGTTGGAGTTACCATATGACACAGTAATTCCAATCCGAGGAATATACCCAAAGATCATAAAAACATTAATTCAAAAGGAAACCTGCACTCCTATATTTATTGCAGAACTATTTACAATAATTAAGATATGTCCAAAACAGATGACTGGATCAAGAAGATGTGATATATATACACGATGGAAATATCATTCAGCAATCAAAAATATAAACTCATGCCATTTGCAGCAACATGGATGGAGCTAGAAGGGCTTATGCTCAGTGAAAAAAGTCAGCAGGAAAAAGTCAAAACTAGTAGGCAAACTATAAATCGGGAGACACAACAGGGAGTGGGGGTAAATCAAAAGGGAGGGAAGAGCAGAATAGAACATGGTGATAGTTCACAGGTGTTTTGGTGGTGGTAATTTTTTTTATTATTATTATTACAAAAGTTTATTTTTACATCATTTTTTTTCCATCTCAATTGTAATCCCCGCGGGTTTCCCATCACCAAGTCACCCGTGTGCCATCACCATAATCCCGTGCATTTCCCTTCCCCCCCACCCCCGTTTTTGATCCCATTCCCCACTCCATGGTGGTGGTAATTTTATGGGGATTACACCTGAGAGGAGTAATCTTGTACAAAATTTTGTATAAAAATGAACAGTGTAAAAATATATTTAAAAAGGGAAATAGCACTTGGAGCCTTATAGTTAAATTTAATTTTCAAATAAATGATCCACCTTATTAAATAAAATTAATAATAAAATAAACCCCCTGACTCTTCACCTATAAACTTCCTTTTTAAATATGAATTGACTATGGTTCAACTAATTAGCATTTCACTCCAGTTTTTAAATTGTAATTTTAATCAATATCTCTTATTCAGATACAACTTTCCAGGCTCGTATCAGAAAATGTATATAGACATTTAAATCTAGGGCCCTGCCTAGTGGCGCAAATGGTTAAGGCACATTATGAAACTATCCCCTGACACTAAAGCATGGGTTGAGTCCCCACCCATATGGAGAGGCAGACCTCTCCTGTCTGTCCCACTGCTCCCTTCAGCAGTGGATTTCATTCAATCTGATTGTTCTGCTGCTCTTCACTCTGTCTCTGGTGAATCCTCTAACCCCCTTACACCTCTGGCCTGTACCCCAGTTTTTGTATGCATAAATAAACAAATCTTTTTTAAATAAATAAATAAATCTGGCCCTCCCTGGTGGCACTGCAGGTTAAAGCATAGCACTAAGAAGCTAAAGCCACTTCCACATGAGTTCGATCCCCGCCTGACCCAGAGATGACCCATATGGCAAGGCAGACCTCTCCTGACCCGCCCACTGCTCCCCTCAGCAGTGTACTTCCTCGATCTGCCTGTTCTGCTCCCC